TTCTGAACCCTGGGGCACAGACAGCAAAACAAACACCACAGGGGTATTAACCCTTCCCCATGCTATCCAAAGCTTATCTATCTATCTATCTATCTATCTATCTATCTATCTATCTATCTATCTAACTGAAGGTACACTTAAAATGTACTTGTTCTGACTTACACACAAATTCAACTTAAAAACAAACCTACAGAACATATTTTGTTCGTAACTTAGGACTGGCTGTATAAGGAAGACTAAAATGGTCAGACTGGTCAGAACAGGTTTCTCCTGGCAGCTGCGCCCGTACCTTGGGAAGTCAGACTTGGCCACGGTGGCCCACGCTCTCGTTACATCTAGGATAGACTACTGCAACGCACTCTATGTGGGGTTGCCTTTGAAGACTGCTCGGAAGCTTCAAATAGTCCAATGAGAGGCAGCCAAGTTAATAACTGGGGCAGCATACAGGGAACATACAACTCCCATGTTACGCCAGCTCCACTGGCTGCCAGTTTGCTACCAGGCACAATTCAAAGTGCTGGCTTTGGCCTATAAAGCCCTAAACGGCCCCAGCCCAAATTATCTGTCTGAACGCATCTCTCCCTATGAACCATTGCGGAGATTCAGATCCTCCGGGGAGGCCCTGCTTTCCGTCCCACCAGTCATAGGCACGATTGGTGAGGACGAGAGACAGGGCCTTCTCGGTGATTGCTCCCCGGCTATGGAACTCCCTTCCTGGTGAGATCAGGTCGGCCCCCTCTCTCCTGTCCTTTAGAAGGATGGTAAAAACTTGGTTGTGGGGCCAAGCTTTCGGGACAGGGCAATAAAGCAGCAATAGGAAAGATGACCAGGCCAATTAGATTTGATGTGGATGACTAGGACAGTTTTAAATGGTGTATTTTAATATTTTGATAAATATTTTTAATGTTTATGTATGTATATAAGAATTTGTGTCCCAGCATCGAATATTTGCCGTATATATGCTGTGCTTCGCCCTGAGTCCCCTTCGGGGTGAGAAGTGCGGAATATAAATGTTTTAAATAAATGAATGAATAAATAAATAAATAACTGAAATGGCAGCCTGATTATGCTTAATGGTTCTTCTTGTCAATAGCCAAGATAGATCTAAACAGATGTGCAAAAGTAGAAAACAAAAGGGCGGACTGGCAGTTTTTGAAGACAGGCGCAAAAGAAACTTTAGAGAGCTGAATTCTGACTCTGAAAAAGATGAAATCATTTAGGTGCCAATGCTGTTGAGATGGTTTGATGTCATAACATTCATCTATGCTTGATTGGTATAAATAAATGCAAACTGCAAAATGTCACAGACCTTTAGTGACCTCATTCCAAAGACAAACAAGATGGAGCAAGCGCTGTGTTGTTGTAGATTTTCACCACTCAGAGAACTAAGGCACTTAATTTATACTTTTCAGGACATTTTCATCTTCAACTTAGATGAAGGCAACAAAACAATTACTTTTTCAGGAACAAAGGAACAAAATTCAATGTGAGGAACTCTTCAAGCAAGATGAAAAGGAGCGCAAGTGAAGCAAGGGATTTGCTGTAAGAGAACATTAGTTAAACAAAGTCAAGTGAGGAAAAGTATGAAAATTAAGGATGCTGCTTTGGAAATAAAAAAAAGGACATCTCCCCTAAAGGAGAAATAGGTGGAAAGAAGGAAAGAAAGAAAGAAAGAAAGAAAGAAAGAAAGAAAGAAAGAAAGAAAGAAAGAAAGAAGAAGAAGGGGGGGGGGGTCTCTTTCTTAGCAACACCAGATTTTCCAAACACAAAAAACTACCTTTAGAGTCAGCAGCATTCAAATTGGAAATGGAATGGACAACCTGAGCCTTCTTGCATCTTACGCAACACCTAGTTTATCTAAAATGACAACTTAATGATTTCTTCTCTGTCCTCCTCCCCCCCGGGCCCATCTACACTACTATACAATGCAGTGTGAAACTACATTATATGGTCAGTGTAGACTGATAAAATGAAGCATGACTACAATGAACTGGATTATATGGATCTACAGTGACCATATCATTATATGGCAGTGTAGCTGGGACCTAGAATTCACATTCTTGGAAGAGTAAATGTCCTGATGTTTTAAATAACACTATGGCTTCTTCCACACATCTGAATAAAATCCACATTGAACTGGATTTATATGGCAGTGTGGACTCAGATAATTCAGTTCAAAGCAGATATTGTGGATTATCTGCCTTGATAGGTAAATGTTTCCCCTTGACATTAAGTCTAGTTGTGTCTGACTCTGCAGGGTGGTGCTCATCTCAATTTCTAAGCCAAAGAGGGTTATCTACCAATTCAACTGCTCTGTTATCTACCAATTCAACGGATTTCTAATTCAAACTTACTCAAACCGACTTCTAACTCAAACTTATTTAACTGACTTCTAACTGACTCCCAACAGATTTAAACACATTTTGAAATGGAGTCTCACTCATTTTAAGATCTGGGTCACATGGTCTGTAGTCCCGCCCACAACCTCTAGCAGCATAGTTAAGGGGAAAACTGCATACCATTTTATACAATATCGTAAGTAATCACAATTATATACATAACAAATAAGTAGTATAGGAAACTTGTGGAAGGCTGCCATTTCCAACATTCAGCTTTAAGAAGAAGCTGAAAACTTGGCTCTTCCGGTGTGCCTTTGGAGAGTGACCACATATTACTTTCCTGTTGTCTTCTCCCTCAAGTTGTCCTCATACTGCCCTTCCCCTCACCACTTTTAAGGCCTAACTCCACTGTTCCGCCCTCCATGCACTCCTCCCTTACAAATACATCTTTTTCATTGTCATTCATTCATTTATGTGTACATTTGGCTCCTCCATTGTGTGTGTTTGTTACTGTATCCTGCACTGCTGTTTTGTTCTTATGTTCACTTATGTTATTGCATTGTTATTTTTGTTGTTTTGTATTCATTTTATTGTAACTGTATTATTGAGCTTGGCCTCATGTAAGCTGCCCCGAGTCCCCTTTGGGGAGAGGGTGGCGGGGCATAAATAAAGATGATTATTATGATTATTATCGGTATTATTATTATTATACACACAGCCTCCAATCTTCACTAAGGGCCCTTCCACTCAGGCATATAACCCAGAATATCAAGGCAGAAAATGCCTCAATATCAGCTTTGAACTGGGTTATGTAAGTTCACACAGCCATATATTCCAGTTCAAAGCAGAAAATGTGGGATTTTATTCAGCTGTGTGGAAGGGGCCTAACACAGACCATATAGGAACAATCTATATAAATAAAAATGTAATGTTCATTTGTGGGATTAACATAACTCAAAAGCCACTGGACGAATTGACACCAATAATAATAATAATAATAGTAATAAACTTTAATTAATACCCTGCCACCATCTCCCCAATGGGGACTCAGGGCAGCTTACATGAGGCCAAGCCCAACAGCATATTACAATAAAATAAAACCAAAACACAATAACAACACAGTAAAATACATACAACATACGAGTACAAAAAGAAACACAACAAAGCAAAATCATACACAATAAAATAACAATGTCCAGAATAAAAACTAGAATACTAAAAATGCTAAATCAGGATGAGACAGTGGTGGAGCAGATTGTTTGTGAGGAAGAAACTAATAAAGGAACGGGGTCATAAAATAGACCTTCATACAGGTGGGGAAATATACTCTGGGGGCAAAAAGCCGTTGAAGGGGAGCAACCGTATATGATAGTATGACTACTCTCCAAAAGCGCATCGGAAAAGCCAGGTTTTGAGATCCCTCTTGAAAGTTTCTAAGGTGGGGGCCTTCCTAATCTCACTGGGCAATGAGTTCCAGAGTCGGGGGGCCACAGAGAAGGTTCTCTCCCTTCTGCTTACAAGATGAGCCTGTGATAATGGCAAGGGCAAAAGGAGAGCCTCTCCCGAAGATCTAAGAGCTCGGGCTGGTTCATGGAGAGAGATCCGGTCACGAAGGTAGGCGGGTCCCAAACTGTTTAGGGCTTTGTAGGTGAAAACCTGCACCTTGAATTGGGACCGGAAGACAAACGACAGCCAGTGAAGCTCCTTAAACTGAGTTGATCTTTCTCTGTAATTCACCCTGGTTATTAATCTGGCTGCTGCACACTGGACGAGTTGTAATTTCCATGCCATCTTCAAGGGTAGCCCCACGTAGAGTGCATTGCAGTAATCCAGTCTAGAGGTAACTAGGCATGTGCCACCATGGTAAAGTCAGATTTCACAAGGTATGGTCATAGTTGGTGCACAAGTTTTAATTGTGCGAAGGCCCTCCCGGCTACTGCTGACACCTACGCATCTAGTGTCAGCGTTCAATCCAGGAGGACCCCCAAACTACAGACCTATGACTTCAGGAGTAGTGCGACCCTGTCCAGTACAGGTCCCAATACCCTGGTCAAATCTGGACATAATACACCAATCAGGCCAACAAATGACCATCACTCATAAAAACACTGAAAAACAAAGCAGATGGGAATTAAGAAGCCAAAAAAACAAAACATTACAATGCATGCGCAAAACCACACGTATATACACAAATATATATACACACAAGACACATATGCACAGACTGGGCCACAGCAACTCATGGCAGGGGACAGCTAGTCATGACTAAGATTAATTGAAAGCACCCTTATGGGCGCATCTACACTGCAGAATTAATGCAGCTTGGAACCCTTTTAACTCATGCTATGGGATCCTGAGGGTCGTAGCTTGCGTAGTTCTCTTGGGCAAAGAAGGAGAAAGGCTAAAGTAGGTCAAACTAGCATAATACTACAGTGACGGGCCTGGACAAGCTTTAGCCGGTAGGCTGTTAGGAATTGTGGGAGTTGAAGTCCAAAACGCCTGGAAGGCCGAAGCTTGCCCAGGCCTGGCTGTCGCTCCACCCTTTGTCCTATACAAGAGAGGCGAAGAAGCCGGGAAGCGACGAATAGAGGCCCGTCACTATGGCGACCCGCTTCCGCTATTGGGGCCGCTCTGGCCACCGCGCATCGCTGGTTTTTGCCGGGTCTTCCAGCCCCGCCCCCCTTTTCCCCGGGCTCGAGCCCCGCCGCGAGGGAGCTGCGGAAACCCTTTCACTGCTGCTGTTGCTGCTGCTGCTTTGCATCGTGTTCAGAGTTTGGGGTGAGTGAGTGAGGGGCCCGGGGCGCGCGCTCCCTGGAAAGCAAATCCTGGGATCTCTCTGTTGTTCAGAGCAGAAGGAAGAAAGCAAGCAAGCAAGCAAGCAAGCAAGCATTTGTTGCTGGGCTTGGTCCAAGGGGCCGAGTTGAGGGGTAGAAGCAATGCAGTTCCTGCAAGAGGCCTTGGCCTGGCCGAGGGGTGGGGGTGGGGGAATATTTAGATACTTTAAATATATATACATTTACTCTATTGGAGACTTTTTTGTGGGAGTGGGATTGCAAAGTGGTCTCCTCTTGCAAAACATTGCCTTCTTTTTCCTAAATGTTCCAAGTATGGAAACTTAACTTTGTTTGGGGGATTCATCTACACTGAAGAGTTAAAGCAGTTTCACCCCACTTTAACGGCTGTGGAGTCCTGGGTGTTGTCGCTTCACATAGTCTTAGAAAACTACAGATCTCAAGATCCCATACGGTGGTGCCAAAACGCATTAATTATCCAGTGTAGATGCAAGTGGGGATGACTCGTTGTTTGAAATGTAACTTTTCAGGACTTCCAAAGTTCCTGCATTTGCAGCCGGCGAACGGGATTCTGGTCCGCACAGGCATCATGCCTTAATATGGCGTTTTCCAACCGCTGTAAGAGCGTGGGACTGACTACAATTCCCATCATCCTCCCCTCCCTCCTAGATTAGGGCATCAGAAGGAGCCCTTGTTCAGCAAACATCTCATGTTGTGGATCTGTTAATTCTGGGGGTCCCTTTTTGGCCCATTCCACACAGCTGAATAAAATCCCACATTATCTGCTTTGAACTGGAATATATGGCATAATGGACTCAGATAACTCAGTTCAAAGCAGCCACAAGAAGGGGTCCATCCACACAACCATATCACCCAGAATAGCAAAGCAGAAAATCCCACAATGTCTGTTATGAATTGGAATACATGGCAGTGTGGACTCAGATAACCCAGTTCAAAGCAGATATTGTGGGATTTTCTGCTTTGATATTCTGGGTTATGTGGTTGTGTGGATGGGCCCCTTGAACTGTTCTTGTGGCAGCAGGCTAAAAATGTTGGCAGGATATTCAAATAAGCAGTCATGCCTTTTCTAAAGTGGACCAAATACTATAAGGTCTTTATTCACTAGGGCCCCATGTATATTGCCCTCTAATGCAGTATGCATCATATGGTCAGTGTTGATTCATCCCACGCAGTTAAAGTTCATTAGATGAGTCTTCACACTATGTAACAGTTTCAGACTGCATTACAGAGCAGTGTCGCTGGAGCCTCGGTCCCCATTTTTGTCTTCAAATAGTAAGGTAAACAGTAATGAAATATTATAAAGGTCTCCGTTGGGTTCTCATTTTGGTCTTCAAATATGAAGATCAGTAATAGTAGTAGTAGTAATAATATTAATAATGATAATAATAATAATAATAATTCAGACTGATAGAGTTCTGGAGCACAACACAAAGTATAGATTGTCGATGTCACAATCCCAGGTGACAGAAAGATTGCAGAGAAACAACTGGAAAAACTGACACGATATGAGGATGTAAAGATCGAACTGCAAAGACTCTGACACAAACCAGTAAAGGTGGTCCAGTGGTGTTCGGCACACTGGGTGCAGTGCCTAAAGACCTTGGCCTGCACTTAAACACAATCGGCGCTGACAAAATTACCATCTGCCAGCTGCAGAAGGCCACCTTACTGGGATCTGCACGCATTATTCGCCTATACATCACACAGTCCTAGACCCTTGGGAAGTGTCCGACGTGTGATCCAGTGCAACAACCAGCAGAGTGATATTGTCTGCTGTGAACTCATCTTGTTCTGTTTCAAATAATAATGATAATATTTATTTATATCCCGATTTATCTCTCCCAAAGGAGCCCCTGGTGGAGCAGTGGATTAAAGCCCTGAACTGCTGAACTTGCTGATCGAAAGGTTGGCGGTTCTAATCCGGGGAGTGAGCTCCCAGTGATAGCCACAACTTCTGCCAATCTAGCAGTTCAAAAACATGCAAATGTGAGTAGATCAATAGGTACTGCTTCTGCAGGAAGGTAACAGTGCTCCTTGCAGTCATGCCAACCATATGACCTTGGAGGTGTCTACAGACAACGCTGGCTCTATGGCTTAGAAATTGAGATGAGCACCAACCCCCAGAGTCGGACATGACTGGACTTAATGTCAAGGGGAAACCCTTACCTGATTTCTCCCAAAGGAGACTCAAAGCAGCTTACGTTAATAATTCCCCCTAAAAGCTGATGTTTTCTCCTGTTATTTAGCTTGTGCAGGTAAACACCTTTTCCCAATACTTTTTTTGCCATCATATTAGGATAAGTAACAAGGTAACGCCAGCTCTTTGGCTTAGAAATGGAGATGAGCACCAATCTCTAGAGTTGGACACAACTGAACTTAATGTGGAGGAAAACCTTAGCAAAGTAAAAGTAAAGTCTAGTAATGTCCGACGCTTGGGTGGGGGGGGGGGTAGTGTTAATCTCCATTTCTAAGCCAAAGAGCTGGCATTGTCATTAGATGCCTCCAAGGTCATGTGGCCAGCATGAAGCTGTACCTATTGATCTACTCACATTTGCATGTTTTGAACTGCTAGGTTGGCCAAAGCTGGGCCTAACAGCAGGAGCTCACCCCGCTCCCTGGATTTGAACCACCTACCTTTTGGTCAGCAAGTTCAGCAGCTCAGCGGTTTAACCCACTGCACCACCAGGGGGCCCCAGAAGTAGTAATGTTCCCCTAAAGTGGACTTCTCCTTATTATGCTATGTAACACAATTTTTGTTCCTGGGTTATAAATGTCATTTTCTATTTGGTTCTATCGTGAAAACGTTTATTAAACTGCAAAAACTTTTAGTTTTGCGGGACATTCTCCAGCACATTTTGCAATAGTTTTTCAATGAATATCTCACAGTCTCAACTAATTCAACAAAAACGAAGTTTGTGGAGCATAACAACTACTTTCAAAGTAAGTGGCACACAATTATATAGGAAATGACATTTTCAAACCAGGAACTTTTTTTTTTCAAATTTTGTTACATAGTCTTAGGCCCCTTCCACACAGCTCAATAAAATCCCACATTTTCTGCTTTGAACTGGAATATATGACAGTGTGGACTCACAGAACCCAGTTCAAAGCTGATATTGTGGGATTTTCTGCTTTGCTATTCTGGATTATATGGCTGTGTGGAAGGGCCCTTATTCATTTTAATCAGATTAATCCCTCTTCCCACAACTTTAATAATATAATATATATATATAGTGTATTATATTATATGAGAGCTGGACCTTAGGGAAGGCTGAGCAAAGGAAGATAGATGCTTTTGAATTGTGGTGTTGGAGGAAAGTGCTGAGAGGGCCTTGGACAGCGAGAAGATCCAACCAGTCCATCCTCCAGGAAATAAAGCCCGACTGCTCATTGGAGGGAACGATAGTAGAGGCCAAGATGAAGTACTTTGGCCACATCATGAGGAGACAGGAAAGCTGAGAGACGACAATGATGCTGTGGAAATGGAAGGAAAAAGGAAGAGGGTCCGACCAAGGGCAAGATGGATGGATGACATCCTTGAAGTGACTGGATTGACCTTGAAGGAGCTGGGGGTGGTGACGGCCGACAGGGAGCTCTGGCATGGGCTGGTCCATGAAGTCACGAAGTCAGAAACGACTGAACGAATGAACAACAACAACAAATATGACATTCCTAAAGAAGTATTATCTTATGTAAGGAATAATAATTTCTTTATTATTCACTTTCATATGGGCTCCTGTGCCCCTAACCCTAGCAAATGTGACAAGTCTGGCTGTATATGCGAAAATAGATATTCCAAAATCTGAAAGAAATCCCAAACTCTTGGTGTCCCAAGCATTTTGGATAACACTGGCTAACAGACATTTGGGTGCCCCAAACGTTAGACTTGTTTCTGGGTATATTTGACCTGCTGATTCCAAAAATTGCACCAATTTTCCCCATAGTTTTTGAGATGGAATCTATGTCTATTAGTTGCCATCTGCTCACCCATAGAAAATAATGATGACCATTTCTCGAAACTAGAACTGTTGTAGTCTGTCCAGTGCAATTTTCTGAATCGGCTCTCTAAATAACCCCAGGAACAGGTCTAAAAACCAAGACACCAGAGGGATTTTTTTGTTGTTGTTATTGTTGGACTGTGTAATGGTTACTCAACAATGATTCCACTTTAACTGCCATGGTAATCTCTTATAGAATCCTGGAATTGGCCTTTACAATCCTCAGCCTTGGATCTCTAGCACCTTCCTAATCTATAAGTCCCATGGCAGTTAGTAGAATTGTAGAGTTGTAATTTTCTAGTGTGGGAAGGATCCTGGCCAGTTTGGTTTATGGGTGCTGAGAAGAATTACTCTGAAGTTATTGACATCTTTTGTCAAAGTTGGGTACAAATGATTCAGGATGACACTCTTGTACCCAAGATTCTTTATCCCCCTCATTTCCTGTGCTTGCTAGTCCTTGTCATGACTTGTCCCCAAATATTGAAGGGGTGTGGAGAAGCACACACACTCCCATCCCTTTTGATTGTGATCATGACACAGCGTCCCTTTCCAGGCGACATAAGTGTGCATGCTCAACCTCATGTGGGGAGAAGAGTGGGATTGTGGCAGAGGACCAGGTTTACATATGCTCACCCAAATGTTACTGAGCATTAGTTGCACATATGCAGACTGTGTGCCTGTAGAAGTTCTTTGTGTCTGCATGTGTACACTTGTTTATCCTCACTTCTGTATCTTGTGAACTTGGGGAGGGTTGCAGTTGCCATCCTGTTCTTTTTGCCTCTGTTTCTTTTTGCATTAAAGATACATATCCTATATATTAATGTCTAGAAAATTTAGTCATGAAATCAACCCAAAAAACTTGGGTTGACTTATCCGTGGGTCGGTGTGAGTACTGTACCTCATTTCTCATCAAGGAAGGAACCATTTCTTTCTTTTAGTAGAGTGACAAAAAAAAAAAGACTTAGTC